ATCTGGTACATCCATTGTCCAGAATCGCATAGGTCGGGTTGTGCTGAGGGCTTGATGACAGGCGCCATCAGCTTTGTTGCCAGAAGGCTGTGATTTGTTGTGACGGACAGATTGTGTTCTGAAACTGTATCTGATTGGATCAGCTTCTCGTGGATGGCCTTTTTCCCAGGATGCTCATATGCATCATGGAATGCCATTAACGCTTGTCCTGTGCTGGATGTCTCATGGGATGAGTACCAGCCATGTTCGTTCCATGTCCATGATTGATCCCAATCTTGGTCTGTCCAACCGGCATAGGTAGGCTCTATGGATGGTGCAGTCTGCTGGATGGCGGGCTGCTCCTCCGTCTTCTCTGCGGTGGCTGCGAACGTCTTGGATTTTCCTTTCTCCTGTCCGCTCTTTCCTTTGCCACTCTCATAGGATGGATAACCTTTGTTTCCATCATAGGGATATTGGAATTTTGATTTTCCTTTCTTTCCCTTCTTTCCTTTGCCTTTTCCCCAATATGCCTGGTCGTGGGATCATAGTTTTTCGCTGGCCATATTGGCCTTTCCGCCAGAACCGCTTTTTCTGAAGGGTTTTAAAACCACCTCGTTGGTGACTGCCCTTTTTGTTTCCTGATTTTCCTTTTCCTTTTCTCTTCTTGAACTTGAAGTTCCGCCCCGACACTTTTCTTGCTATGAACGCATCGTTCTCCTCGAGGACCCAGAACGTCTCTTCATCGTTGTTTGACATGAATCCTTCAAGTCCTTCTTCATCCTCAACCCAGAAGCCTTCTTCTCCTTCGTATTCACCTTGTTCGATGATGAAGAATGTGTTGCTTCGGTTGCCTCCTTGAGGTCGGATGGATGGATCTTGGATCGATGTCCTCGTTGTGATGAAGAGTTCATGGTAGTGCGTCTAGGAATAATTCTCGAGTGAGATGTTTCTCAATGACATTGCACTTGTGAGTCTTCTCTTTGTTGATCTGACAACTCACTTTGAATGATGAAAAACTGTGCAATGAGATTATCCCCGAAGGGAAATGCGTCCCGCTGTCTGTCCTGCATTCCTTGGATATATTGTCTGAGGACTGTAGGATCGTCCTCATTTAGCAGGGCTGGAGGCGGTGCTCGAGCACCGGCTGCTTGCTGATGTCGAGCAATTGTTCTTGCATTTGCGTCCTGTACGGACTGTCGGAATGATGGAGACTGTGCCGTAAAGATTGGCATCAAGTCCATCCATGCTGCCTTCAATCTCATGAGAAGGATTTCGAATTTTGAGGTAAAAATGAGGAACTCTTGGTTCTGCCTTCTGTGGTTGAAGAAACTGAGGAGTCTGTACAGATACACGTTGGTCGCACCTTTCAAAAAGTACTTCTTCAGCGTGTTCTTGAAATAGTTGACTCCTTCATCAGGATCTTGCAAAAGGTCATTTTGGAGGACGGCCTTGTACATGTAAGCATCTCCAGTGAGTCTGCTCTTAAGCAATGGACCTCGCTTGGCTGCTTCTACTGTGGTGATGGTCACCCAGTCGTCCACGAGTTCCTCGTACCTGAACCAGCTGACTTTTCCGTCGCACGATGGCGGGTGCTTGGCGGTCATCGATAAATTTAGTGTTTCCTCCGGCTTTGCCGAACTTGTGTAGGCTTCCATGAAGCCTTCTCCATCGGATGACATTTTTCTGTGGATCTCTGCGGAAAACGCGCTCCGCTACCACAAATTGAGGTGTCGAGTCAGTTCTCTCGACATGACTGGCGGTGGTAAGCACTACGTAGTCCCAGCTTAAACAGCAAATCAATTGGGTTTGTCTCAAACTGAGGAGCATCCTGACTCTTAACCTTACAAGCTAAAAATATTACCACGAACGCAGCGGTCCAAGTGATGTTCAAACATGCCAATGCTTGTGAGTCTGCTCTCTTTATAACGAACCATTGGGGGAGCGGGGGCAATTAGGAGGGGTAAGTGAGGAGCAGGGAATCCCCAATCCATGGACAAGCGGCACCCGGTTTGAACCCCTTCCAAATGGGAATGTGAACAAATTGGGGGACTCATTACCAGAAATTGCTTTGCACCAAGGCAAAAAGGCTGCTCTCAGAACACCGCGCCCAAATCACCAGCCAGCAATTTTTAGCGCCCGTCGAGCCTTGCCGGGCAAGGTTCACCCCAAGGTCGTGCAGTTCATCCAGGTGGCACAAGCTGACAGATGCAGTTTTGGAAGTGCCCACCGGCCCGTGCATGGATCGCAAGTGCACATCCTCCTCCTGGTCGGTTTCACAAAACGGGGGAGTCGAAACACGATTGAGGTGGTTGCCCCTCACATGGACAGTTTTGTGTGCGTTGAAACCAATTAGTAAGTAGGGGATTGCCGCTAGACTTGACACATGTGTTTGGCCCCAAAAAAATGCCAAAACACAAAATGCGACAACAACACGCACATCAGCAGAGCTGAACGAATCTCTAACCCGAGCTTCGAAAAGTCGGCCAGTCCTGGTGAAGACGGTTCCTCTGTGAGCGGGGCATGCAACCTGCGCATGGGTTGCTGGTGACAGGTGATCAGCTTTCCAGCTTGGCGACAAGGGTTCTTATCCGCTTCAGGACATTACCCAGCAACAAGGGGCACATAAAAGGAAAAACTCCACTTCACGGCTTAGACATCAATCCAAAAAATGATGCCCACCAAAAGATCCCATGTCCATAACAAAACAACAAAGCATGTCCAAAGGATCCCCCAGTTTCGCTAAAAAACGAACTTTTCGGCGGGACTGTGATTGGAGCACCTGCAATCGGGTGCGGGACGAAATCAATACCGGGAAGGGGGAGACGAAGATTTGGCCAAACCTTGTGGGCTGTGGGCTTTTAATGCGACACTGCCCAGAGTCTTCTCTCAGGGGAGGTTATTAATCAGGAGCGAAATGGCTAAACATCAAGACAAACCCAGTTTCTTGGGTGCTGTAGATCCCCCAGTTTAATTTCTTGCTTCCGGGGTTTTTGTTGATTAAAAGGAAACATGAGGGGTATCCCAACATTAAAATCTAAGGATCCAACCCGATAGCAGTAGAGGTTTGGACGCTTTTTTTGAGTTCCATGACCATGGCTCGTTTTCGTCACAAGGTCTGGCACAACCAAGTTCTGCCCCCGCGGCATCAGCCCTGACACATTCCCTCCACCTGCAAACACGTTTCTCTTCCTGCCACCAACATGCATAGCGCTGCAACAACCGCCCGCGTTCAAAATAAACATGGACCTCGGATTCCGAATGAATCTCCAACGAACAGCCTTAACGAACTTCTTCAATCATTGTTCGGGGGCATCCATCTTTTATTTTTCGGGGCTTTCGGCTCAAACCTGCCGGAGCAGGGGTCCGAACGGAACGTTGCTGCGCTGGTTTCCATTTTGTTATTGTTGAAGACATACTGATGCAAATGGCCAAGTGGGTGGTTGCAAGGAAACATCACAAGAAAAAACGTTCTGTGCTGCTGGGGGGGGGGGTCGCCATTCACACCCTACCCGCTGAACTTTCGCTTGACGCCCCACAACCCTAAAACCACCTGCCTGGAGTGTTGGTCCGATTCTTCTCATCCAACCGCCCAAAGACATAAGTCCGAAGCGGCGCCAAATCCTCCATGGCGTCCGCAAACCGAGCGCTGTCTCAAAGGCACTTCGCTCGCTTTGCTTTAATCTTGGGCAAACAGGCGTGTCCCAAAAACACCAACGTTCTGAACTCTGCTCATGTAGGGTTTCGTTACAACGGGTTCATGGCCTGGCTGTTTGTCTAACCTTGTCCGAAGCCATACCCAAAAACACGAGAGATGCATTGTCGTGATGCTGGCCGTGAACGCGCGGCGCACGATTATCCCCTCCAGCTAAGGGAAACCGCTGGATTCTTGTGGGTCAAGACTCCTTGGATGCGCATTTGATGTGTGAGCCTCAGATTCGGCGTCCGTTTGACACTGAAACGTTGTTTTGGGGAACCGTGACTTGCGGCCAGCATCGTGAGATCCGGCCAAACCATGGGGTGGTTGTTTGGCGGGTTCGGGAGCCAGCCTTGTCGAGAAAAACACAGTCAAAGCATTTGCATTGTCATTGCTGTGTTTTGAGTTGACATGCCGAATCAAAAATCCAACGCCTTCAAACAGCGCTTGCAATTGCCCTAGCTGCTGAGTTTTCAAGCAGCTTGTTGAAAAACCATGGCAACCGCCGTGGCACGGAATCACGTGGCCGCATGCGGCGAAATTTGATGCCGTCTGCAAGCAAAACAGAATCCAAATATTCTACATGCCTGGCGCCGGGCGGGTTGAGGGTTCTCACCCCTGCACAGTTTTCACGCGTGGCACTGGCAACTGCAACCCGGCTGTTTGCACGTGTCTGCCCACCTCACTCTGCAACACAACGTTCTGTGTTCTCGTGCTCGCCAATTAACAGACTCGGCACGCGCTTCGCTCGCCAAACTTGACGTTCTCGCTAACCAAGCGTGGGCTGCCAACGAAGGCTTGCAAACCTGCTGTTGGTCGCGACTCACAGGCTGGAAGATACATGTAGATTCCCAAAATTTCACATTGGAAACTACTTTCTAAAGAAACATGGTCTTGAGCTCAAGTCATCGGCGGGCAAAGCAGGGATCCCAATATGAATCGGCACCCGCGCTGTTGCCGCAGCATTACACGCTTACGTCCAGGTTGCCAGAAATCAAACCAAACGTGTCGATCACGATTGCTTGGGCAGCGGCTGTCTCAAGCGTGTCGTCCTCAGGAATGCGCTGGTTCATGACATTTCACACTACAGGAAGCTGTTCAACCTCCATACTTTGGCCGACGAGAGCGGGGCAGCTAGCCGAGGCGCCTTGCGGCCGCTTTGCGCTCAAGCGCTGTCAATTGATGGGCGGACCGCTCAGGCAGTTCTAGGGTGTTTCCATGTGTGTGTTGAGGATGGTGCACACAACCTCTCCAACATGTTCGAGGTAGATCCAAGTTCACCCTAAAGGGTTCCAGGGCGGACTGAGGCCAGCTTGTCGGTTTTTTTTACACGGGCATCGCAAAGATGTTGGTTGCCAGAGACTACCCGCATCGTGTCAGTATCAGGCATGCACCGGCATGGCGCAGCCAGCTATGACCATCTGAGCCGATCGACAAGTATCTGGGCAATGAACATAGCAATCCTTGAGATTTCCGTTTGCCTTGCCTCGCCTGCTGAAGGTGTGCTTGACCTTGAGCATCCAAAGCGTGTTCGGATTGTCAATCGTACCCTTGCGATATCGCTTCTGCGCGATCTTCTTGTTCTCCTGGTTCTGAAAGGTCTCCAGTCCGTCCAGGCACTGGCACTCTATCGGCTCGGTCAAACCTCCATTTTCATTGCCGCAGAAAGACAAGGTCTGAGCGCTGCCTTCAAAGTGCACAAACTTCCTCTTGTCCTCGCAAATCTCGTTGCAGCGAAAGGCGTGAGGTCCGTAGCGCGCACCATGATCTCCGACGCATCGCCCCCACGCCGACTCTCCGCCTTACTTCATCTTGCTTCTATGGTAGAGCCTGGGCAAAAAATCATGTCAATCTACTCAAATGCCCATGTTACTCACAAAGGATTTAATGGGAAAGTGGATACTTACTAAGCGAGAATTCACGCGGAATACTGAGAAAACGAAGCTGCGGTAGTCCTCGTCGTCAAGGTTGGGATAGATGTAGGGGTCAAGGTCGGCATAGATGTAGGGGTTGATGCAGAAACACTCTACATCCTCAGCACGGCTTGCGTTGACCTCAAGGCTCTCGCCAACTTCTGCCATGCTCCTGGCCGCTTAAAGCGTGGGAGAAAAAGGATAGGGTTACCCTATTAGATGCGAGCATTGCGTATCTTCATACACCAAACAAGTCAAGTCAGGCGAGAATCCTTGGCGCAACATCGTCGAGGCTCAAGATGTCATCTTTGCCCACGTCCAACTTGCCGCCATCCACGCCCTTAGCCCTCTTTGACAGCACTAGACCGCCAAAGCTGAGGAGCAAGGCCGCGCAAATCTTGGACATGCCGCGCGTGGAGAAAGGCTGTGCTTCGCAGGCTACGAGCGTGAATCAACTACTGCTCCTCTTGAGCAGAAAGCGTTTGGCACGCGAGCGTATCGGACTTGCACAGTTTAAGCTCTTTCTAATGCGTCCCAACTTCACTTCTTTGTTCAGCGGCATTCCAAACTGCCCGAGTTATCCCGAGTTTGAGCATGATGTAACAGGAATATTGAGGTAGAAATGAAGCCTCGTGAAGCGCCATTGGTCCCAAAAAACCCCATCAGAATGAAATTGAGTAGTGCGGATCCCGAAAACGCGCGATTTTCCAATTGGAGCCCTCTCTTTTGGAGGCAACCCCTTTCGACATGTTCGACCCTCTGCGATTGGTGTCAGCACAAGGGTCTTGGTTCGAACCAAGTGGGGGATCTGTCCAAAATCTTGAGACGAACGCGATTCTTAGACCGCGATTGAAAAAAATCAATTGGTCGCTTGATTTTTGTACCATTTCAATCTTCGATTGAAAACAGAAAAATCAATAGATTTGAGGTTTGGCATGTCTTGCAAGATCAATTCACGATTGATTTTTCTATTGAATTTTCGGTTGAATTTTGCAGGCTTCGCGATTGATTTTTCGATCGAATTTTCGATTGATTGTTTGACTGTTTGTTCTTTGTTTTTTCTTTTGTGTTCTGTGCTCTTGAGTTGCAATCTTCATTGCGTGCGTACTTCTCATTGGGCTGTGTTTCGAAGTACCTTACTCTCATTTTCACCTTGAACCACCAATGCTTTAACCATAAGATGGCTGGATAGACATGAGAGATGGCTGGATAGCCATGAGTGATGGCTGGATAGCCATGTGCTTCACATATACTGCTGGCTGCCACAAACTGCTGGCTGGATAGCCATGTGTTCCACACACTGCTGGCTGGATAGCCATGTGCCTCACACACTGCTGGCTGGATGGCTGGATAGCCATGTGCCTGACACACTGCTTATGAAAATCCAGCAGCCATTTTGCTCCACCCCACCTGGCGCCACCCAATGGTATGGGAAAAGGTGGTCAAAAACACCTACAATGGACATGGAACATTTGCTGGATATTCTCAAAAGCTATGTGAGAAAATCTGGACTGGAGGGCTCACTAAATTTTGGGGAGTACTTCAACATAACCAGGCCCATGGCAGTGAATGGCAAGGAACTCGCAGAGCAACTTGAATTTCTACGGGGCCTAGCCCAGGTGAACCCAGAGCTTGTCTTTAAGCACTCAGGGCTTAAGGACATCTACAAAGAGCTTGAGAAGACCTTCCCTGACCTCAAGCACAAGTTCAACTTGGAGAAGAGGGCCTGTGGGACTGCCTGTCACTTCTGGAGGCACGACTGGGGCACGGGGGGGCATCACACACCCAGCCATTCTTCCGAACCGGGCAGTTGTGGGACCGTCCACAAGATCCTTGGCACCGACCATGGAGGTGGTAATCCTTGCAGTACGCCACCCCTTTGGGATTCTTCCAGGCCCAGTGGTCCGGCCATTGTGGGGAGGAGCCGTTGGGAGTCTTGCCTTCGCCGCCGTGCACATCAGCAGTGTGGTACGGAAGGTCATGTGCAGCCTCTCCAGCTGCCTCCTTGAGGTAGGGTGGGACCTCACTTTCTTCATCTTCCCGTTCCCACCCATCAACAGTGACCTTCTTGTGTGTGTTCGCAGGGCGTTCCCCGAGCGCTCACTGTGTGCTTGCCCGGGATGTAGCCAAGTTCACCTTTGGCGATAAGTCGCCATTGCTTCTTGAGGTAGCTGTCACTTCCTTGGAATTCCAATCTCGGTTTCGGAGCTCCATGCATAGCCACATAGGCATCTTCCAGTTGGCGACGATCACAGAGGACCTCCATCTGTGCCTTGACGGGTCCCGCCTGGCTTTCTGGGGGGCCCCTTGATTGCCACCCCTGACCAACTGCGTGGCCACCCGGACCGCCTGTAGGAGCCGCATGGCCGTGAAAGCCGATGTGCGGGCGTTGAACCCGTTGTGTCCATCCTCGAAATCCAAATCACGAGGACCGTTCGCCCTGGCGTCCGCAGGGGTGTTCCAGCGGTCGGCCAAGTCCTCCACTGTGACATATCCGGACTCCCCCAACGCGGCCTGCACCACCAAAGGAATTTCCTTACCCACCAGGATGGCCGCTAAATCTTCTACAACTTCGCCACATTGTCCCTCAAGTCCGCCGGAATCCCCTCAAAAGGTTTGGCTGGCCCAGCCGCCATGAACCTTACCTTGGTGTGGGTGGGTGGGTTTTAAACTACAGGGTTCAACAAACCCAAGGCAATGCTTGAGCCAAAATGGCATATACGCCATGTTGGCCAAGCATTGCCTACACAGTACATGTTTCCACATGTTCCAACATTAAACAACCGTATGCAAGCTGACCAAACGGCACAACACAAGCAGGCGATAACACTTTTATCCAAGCATTGTGTTGGTGCCAGGGACTCATCTTCCCTTTCATGAGTTCCAGGTTGGGTGGTCCTCCGTGCCACCCACTTCAAAAATCCTGGACAGGAAAATAACCGGTGTGCAGATTGATTGCGCCATTTCCGAAGGAGAGTCGCCATTTTTGAAGGATGCCAGTCTGTGCTGAGGGCTGACTGTATGTACCCGCCAGGGCCGGAGGCACCTAGGCTTCACCAGGGAGTGTCACGATCTCCGTCTCTGACTGGGTGTCCACGGAGTCGTCCGTGTCGGAGCCTGAGTCCAAATCTGAGTCAGAGTCTTCCTGCAGGGTAGGAACCTCCGCCGGCTCCAGGAGCCAGCGCTCCGGGAATCCATGCCCTTTTGAAGCAACGTTCACACTTGCCGTAGGTCTCTGGCTCCGCGACATAGTCCGACACGGAGAGATCCCCAATTTTCAAGGCCGCCGGGCGCCAGCCGCACCCCACGGTAGGTAGATCCTGGATAGGTTGTTGGGCCCCGTGCGCTTGCTTGCCACTATCACCCGAAGCGCTGCTGCCGGGTGGGCCGGGAACAGCTCCTTGCCCTTCACCGGATCGGCATCGGGCCCCCGGTCCACCAACAGCTACGAGCGAGCCGAGGCTTCACTGCCTGGGGCGGCTCCAGGGGACGTCCCTTCCGCCGCCTTGCTCGCCTCTTCGTGGTCAGCCGGCCCTTCATCCTGGATCTCCACCGTCGGGGTCATAGGGGGGTCCTCTCCCAGTTCGGGTGATTCAGATCCTCCCTTCGTTCCCTGCCTGGCCCCAGGTTCAAGTTGGGGACCCGCAGCGCCACCTTGTTCCAGATGTCCACCACCACGTTACGCTTCTCCCGGACATAGACGTCCGCTGTGCTTTCAGAGAGCCAGTTCCCCAAGTACTGACGACGGTCCCGAGGAACACCCAGCTGGAATGCACAGTCGGGGATGAACACACGAAACGAGTGCCACGAGATCGGGTCACCATTTCTTGCGGGACCCCCCTGCGCCGTAGCGCGTCCTTGTTCCGCGGTGGATGGACGCGGGATCAGCCCCGCAAAGTCTTTGCTCACCGTCGGCAGCAGGTAGTCCATGTCCTGGAATGCCTTCTCTGCCGTCAGTCTCCGCACTATTGCCACAAAGAAGGTCCACCAGGGAATGCCCGAGAAGCTGTATTTCGGGCATATGAGGCACCGGGTTTCGGTTGATCCTGGCCGCAGAGACGGTCTTGGTCTGCCAGGCCTTACGGTGGGACCAGATCTTTTGGGTGGACGTGCTGGAGCGAGCACTACAACCCACCTGGAATCTGGCGAGCCCCAGGATGAAGGCGTCCAGCAGCTCGTGCCTACTTTTCCCCGACGGGGCTGTCTGAGTACCGGGGCCGGAGGCACCCAGATACTCATTGCCAGCCCCTTCCTCCAGGGCCCAGATGACCTCCTTGCTGTGGGGACGACGAGTGACTGTGTCCGTGAGGGACTCCTCCAGTGCACTCCTCTTCGCTTTGAGGCGGTGGAGTTCATCCACGTTCAGCATGCTAAAAGTCTTGGAGTACCACTTGAGGGTGTTCCAGACCTGCCTCAGTTTGTAAGGAGTGACCTCCTCGTCCGCCAGCTGGTTGAGGAGAGAGCGTACATGCCGCTCCTGCCATGGAGTCACCGTGAAACCCTTCTTCCTGAGGTTCTCGTATGCCAGGCAATGCTGCCGTAGCGTCCGGAACCTAGTGTTTCCCAGCAGGTCCAGGGCCTCCTTCCGGAAGTCCTCCCCCAGGATGTCCTTCAGGTGGGGGATGTGTTCCGCAAACGGGACCAAGTGAGCCAGGAGCCGCTCCGCCCACTTCCCCCGTAGGTGGAGCTCCAGGGCCCGCTGCGTCGTGGGCTCAATTTCCCTGACTCTGCTGGGTCGCCAGTGACGCCACTTGAGGAATTCTGGTTGCTGAAGTGGGGGCGGGTCATTTCTCAAGTACCAAGAGTGCCCTCTCTGATGCCGCGTGGAGCAGGTTCCACATGTTATCCCACAGGTCCGCCAAGTCATCTGCCGACAGCGGTTGAGGAAGGCGCCCTGCCGCCGCTGTGACCAGGCTGTTGAAGTAGTCCGACGGAACCAAATGGTCCTCCGGATCAGGACCATCAGTTCCCCATCCGTCTGCCTTGGGGAGAAGGATTCGTCAGACAGCGTGTCCCATGAGACCCGCGATCCGGTCCCATAGCCGCGTAAACGGTGGCCTCATACGAAACTGGGTTGAGACCCTGGCAATGACATCAGAGCCATCCTTGAGCCAAGCAATCTCCTTGCCCTAATGTTACAGCGTATCATGCGCAGCTCAAAGTGCAGTGGCAGGCAGAGTGCAGTTGCTTGCAGTGCGCAATATCTGCAGGCATGACAGGTTCAGATCCAAAATGTTTGGGTCAGTAGAAGCAGAGCGGGAAAGAAAAGGGATCCCAAAAGCCACAGGAAAGCGGGGGCGAACGGGGCCCGAAACCCCGTTGGAACGGAGGGATCCCCGCCCGACCGTTCGCGCCTCCTTTCGTTACTTTTTCTCCGTGGGGCAGCTGGACTGGCCCGTCTGTGGGGCACGGCATGCCTCGACAGCTGTCTGCGAGTCAAAGGGAGATCCTGCGGGCGCCTCCGGAGTAACAG